CTTTGTTTGGATATATTTATGATTTCACGTGTTTGTTTTTGTATTATTTATAAACTCATTTATCACATCAATCAATTAAATAAAATCATGAATTTATCTCCATATATTTTCTTAGGTTTTGGCCACTTCCACATAAAATCTGTGTTTTCCAATTAGAATGAAAATTCACTTCGCTTATTAGAATTACTACTTTTTTGTGTTGTTGTTAAATTCATATAAGAAAATCGATAAACATGTAGTGTTCAAATTTTTGCCAAATATTTATAAACAAATGCGCATTAAAACATTGAAAACATTTTATATTTCATAATTCAACTTTTACTTTCTTTTATGTACCGCATATTTTGCATTTAAAAACAATAAAAATTGTATAATATTTTGCTCTGGACAGTTCCGCACCAACAAAACCCTTTCTACATTGTGCATTTAGTAAAATTTCAAATACACGCAGACCGCTGAACAACCAAATACGAAGCAAGTTCAAATCAGACTGAAAAAGAAAGTATTTTTAAGAGCGCTGCACTGCGTTTGCTGTGTTGTGTATTTATTGCTCTCTCACAACAACGACCGTTACACAAAAAAATTACACAGTACTTTTGAGAAAAATTGAATTTGAAATTTTTATGAAGGATATGAAAGAATTTTATAATTTAAATAAAATATTGTTTTATTTTTATTTATTATTTTTATTTTTATTTTAATATAATATCATCTTTTGATATTATTATATTATTATTATTATATTACTTATTAGATTTATGTGTATTGTCGACGTTTCGAAATTTTTTGACTGATTCCTATGTAAGGTATATTTTTATTGCGCCCATAATGAAAAATTCAGAAAATATTATCCAAACTAAAATTTATTTGAAGATATTAATAAATTAAAACATTTTATTAAATTATTTAAAGAAGTCTTAATGAGTATAAATAATCAATCATATGAAGTTCCTTCAAAAAAGGAATTTTATACATATAATATAATATATTTATTAGAAATTCTATACGGAACTCTATTTAAAATACTTGTTTAATTATTTTAAACAATGAAATGTGAGAAAAAGCCCATGAACTTCTGCTAGCGAGTACACAAAGTAACGTGTCTAATTATATTTAATTTTGAGAATGCTAACGCCATCTTTGGTGTACTTAATCCAAGTCGTGGCACAGCGTTCAAGTGGCATCGCTGGATAGTACCTGGCGTACAGCGAGTCCTATCTCCAAGTCTTTATGTTTGGGTTCGGCACCGACCTTGGCACCCGTCACATAAAATCAGCCGGCAGAGCAAGACGTAAGGATACCTGAAACTTTGAAACTGAATGTTGATAACCCTCGCACGACTACGATTTATGGATACACACCTGGAATGACCGCAGCCTCAATGGGGAAGGTGCCTCTATCCAACTGGCGGAAACCATCAATAATTGTGAGGTTCACGTCAACATCATCAAGGAATGCGTCAGGTCGAAACTCGATAACGGGTTGTTAAGGCCATTTAAGTAAATTGGTAAGTATTTTAAATAATAGGATTTTCACAAAAGTCATAAAAATGTGACGAACACAAACTTATTATGATTATGATATGGACTTAGTTTATTTGAACAAACTATCAAACATGATCACATATACAAATATATTATTAAGACTTAAATTGATCTTAACTTCTGTTCCATTACAGATTAATCTGTATTTTTTTTTTCTTGCACCTGTTCTTTAGGAAGAAAAATTCTTTAAAGCCCTTAATTTTAAATTTACAGGATATTATTACTGCCACTACTCTGTTGTTTTCCCTCGACACCATTACTTTACGTATAGCCTTCAGAAAGTAAGCTAAACTTCAAACACATCTCATGATTTAGTATATGATATATAATGTTCCTCATGAGTCAGATTTGTTCAGAGTCACGCAAGTATTACAAAATACTTTTCGATATAGTTGATCTTTATACTTCATTTAAGTATCGTCCTTGCAATTATGAGCCTTATGCGTTAAATAATAGTATGTTATGAGTGTTCTACTTAAGCATGACGAAATGTGATAGTAAGAATCAGTAACGAGTTTCAGAAGATGACAGATGATTTCACAGAGTTAACTTTCAACCCATATCTGAATGTTCACATCATCTAACAGAGTAATCTGCCTTTTATTGGAACGTTTTATCGCTGTTGTATTGTGTCTCATTTTCCATTTCGATATTTATAAACGTTAACAAGCCGTTTATAACGATTTAATTAACTTCCTACCACCAAATATGCATTAATATGTATACTTTTTTTTCGGTAAATGGAAAACATCGAAAGGTGTAATAAAAGACTTGAGTCCACTAAAACTAACTCTTAGAAGTGCAAAATAAACAAAATTTCAACCATTGGACCGTAAAGATCGCATTCATCCCATTTTATTTATTAATAATCCATCCTTCTATTAAGGAAATGAACGGATTAGAATACAAAAGGCTTAGCATTTAGACAATAGTTACTAGTGACTTAGACTAAACTTTGTGTAAGGAGTTATTGTAATCACACTAGTAGCGCGGGACTAAAAGAAACACGTGGACAAATTCGTCCAACTAAAGGGATGAAATTTGTACAGACTTGTTGCTTATATTCTTACGCTGGTCCATGGGAAATTAAGTGAGTGAAGTACATCAGAGAGAAGATTATGACAGCTGGTAGAGATTCCTGGCATTTGGGAAAGCAAATAATTATCTAATCGGTTGCATTGTAGATAACTAAGTTGGTACCTCTGCTGTCGTATCTGCGTCTGTATTTGATGCAATCTACGTTTCATTTACGCGTATGAGATTTCAGTCCAAATGGGAAATGAATATGCCATATAAGTTGTTGTAACCAAGTGGCGGAATGAAATTCTGTTTAGCAGTAAAAACAACTCCCAAATATTTTAATCTATCGGTAAGAGTAATATCAGAGCTTTCAATTTTAATGTTTATATATATGCCACTTTTAATAGCATTTATTATTTGCATATCATATCAATAATTTTAAATAGAAAATTTACTATTGCGCACAGTTAAGTTTCAAGAAGAAGTTATTGTGAATGGAAACAGCTGTTTTCAGTTGAACAAGCTGGTTTGCTGGTCTGCGTTTCAAGCGTTGGTATTAACATTCGGTCTTTAAATAATTTGGTCTCCAGTTTACTTTTTTATGGATTTATGAGACGAGAAATATTTTAATTTTCTTAAAGCTTGTTTAATTAAATTTATAAAAAACACTAGACTGAATTATCATATTAATATTTCGGGATTGCGATAACATAAATAAACAAAAGATAATGGCGCAGCGCAGCGACGAACGTGTACCGGCGGAAGAAAATGATTTGCTACAAATAAAACCGCTGTAAATATAAAAGTTGAATATATTTATTTTTAAATCAAATATATTATAAAATTAATTATAACTTTCATAGTGGCGCAGGACAAGAAGTGGGGCGATCATGTATTATGCTAGAATTCAAAGGCAAAAAAATAATGGTACGACAATTTGGAAGTTAATATATATTTTCATTTGTAAGATATATCAAAATAATTTCCATTAATAAATAACATTAAATTTAATATTAAAACGGTTTTAAATAGGAAATTTTCTATATTATTTTATTTAGCTCGACTGTGGTATACATCCTGGCTTATCCGGTATGGATGCCTTACCCTATGTAGATTTAATAGATGCGGATGAAGTAGATTTATTATTCATATCACAGTGAGTTGTATATAACATGTGTATGTATAATACTATATATTAAAAAGTAAATATATTTTTTAGTTTTCACTTGGATCACTGTGGTGCATTGCCATGGTTCTTAATGAAAACCAATTTTCGTGGACGTTGTTTTATGACACATGCTACGAAAGCCATTTATCGTTGGATGTTATCAGATTATATAAAAATCAGCAATATATCCACCGAACAGATGCTTTATACAGAAGCTGATCTTGAGGCCTCTATGGAGAAAATCGAAACTATAAATTTCCATGAAGAACGTGATGTTATGGGCGTTAGATTTTGTGCTTATAATGCTGGACATGTACTCGGTGCTGCTATGTTTATGATAGAAATTGCTGGTGTTAAAATACTATATACAGGTGATTTTTCCCGTCAGGAAGATCGGCATCTAATGGCAGCAGAAATACCCACTATGAAACCGGATGTTTTAATAACGGAGTCAACATATGGCACTCATGTACATGAAAAACGTGAGGAACGTGAAAATCGTTTCACATCATTGGTGCAGAAAATAGTAACACAAGGAGGACGTTGCCTTATACCTGTTTTCGCTTTAGGTCGTGCACAAGAGTTATTACTTATCTTGGATGAATATTGGTCACAAAATCCTGAATTACACGATATACCGATTTATTATGCTTCTTCGTTGGCCAAGAAGTGTATGGCTGTTTATCAAACATATATTAATGCCATGAATGATAAAATAAGACGTCAGATAGCTGTTAATAATCCATTCGTTTTTCGTCACATTTCAAATCTAAAAGGTATTGATCACTTCGATGATATAGGACCTTGTGTTGTAATGGCCTCACCCGGTATGATGCAGAGCGGCTTATCAAGAGAATTATTTGAGAATTGGTGCACAGATCCTAAGAATGGCGTGATAATTGCAGGTTATTGTGTTGAAGGTACCTTAGCAAAGACGATATTGTCTGAACCAGAGGAAATAACGACATTGGCAGGGCAAAAGCTACCTTTGAATATGTCTGTTAATTATATATCTTTCTCAGCACATACTGACTACGAGCAGACAAGCGAATTTATACGTTTACTTAAACCTCAACACGTCGTAAGTTACAGAGATTACTTGTATTATATAATAAAAATTTGAGTTAATGAATTCTTTAATCCTTACAAGGTTTTGGTGCATGGGGAACAAAACGAAATGAGTCGTCTTAAAATGGCATTACAGCGCGAGTATGAAGCAGATACCTCCACAGATATTAAGTTCTATAATCCACGCAACACTCATTCCGTAGAGTTATATTTCCGTGGCGAAAAGACTGCTAAAGTGATGGGTAATTTAGCCTCTATAACCCCAGAAGTCGGCAACAAACTCTCCGGTGTGCTCGTAAAACGTGACTTCAAATACCATCTCTTAGCTGCTTCTGATTTATCTAGTAAGTAAGCTGTGAATACAACTAACTATACTGGAGTATTTATTTATTTTTTTTTTTTGTGATGCAGAATACACAGATATGAGCATGTCGGTTGTGACCCAACGGCAATCAATACCTTGGAATAGTTCTTTAAACACACTTAAGCTACTTTTGGATCGAATAGGTGGTGTGGGTACTGTAGAGGTAGTGGAAGAAGAAAAAAAATTACGCGTCTTCAAAGCTATTGACCTAATTGTTGAAGGGAAAATGATTATTATGGAATGGCAGGCAACTCCGGTTAATGACACATTCGCTGATTCTGTATTAGCGTGCATAATGCAAACCGAAATGGGTGGCACAAATATAAAAAGCGCACAAACCCATTCCAAATCAGATCTCACACACTTTAGAGAATGTTTGGTGGAAACATTCCAAGACTCGTTTGGCGAGCATTCAGTGCCAAAAATGTTCAGTGGTGACCTTTTGCCAATCACTGTAGCTGGAAAGCGTGCCGAGGTTAATTTGGAAACTTTGGTAAGTTCTTGAAGGCTGTCTAATAGCCAACAACTTTTGTCATTTTTAAATTCCTTTTCTAGGCGGTGTCCTGTACCGAAGATGAAAACCTACGTCAAATAGTGAACACAGCAGTACAAAAACTTTACCAGGCTTTGGTGCCCATATAAACATTTATTTTTTTAAATCAAATTTATTTGTATCATTTAAACAAAAAAAAATTATTAAAAACGTATTTTTAACGCATAAAATCTAAAAGAAAATTTTAAAATTAATCCCATTTAACGTTGTGTGCTTTTTGCTATTTGCTCCTTTAACGCCAGAATACTGGCACGTTGCTCCGGTGGAAGTTGCGAGATCTGATCATCTGATAATTGCAAAACTTGCATAATAAGCGCGGCCTTTTCTTGGTCCGAAGCATCATTGGGCAAGCCGTAATTCACAACTAAACGATTTTGTAGTTGTTGCGTTTGCTGTTGTTGCTGTGCTGGCGGCATGCCTCCAGCTGGACCGACACCACGTAAACGTGGATCGATAGGTCGCCGTTGTTCGTTCCCAAAAATTGCTGATGGATTGATTTGTTGTGGTGGCATTTGCCGCGAACGAGGATCAATATGCGGTGGTGGCACAGGATTTGGCAGTGAGCGCATATCTTGATCTATATTACGTCCCATGCGAGGATCCATTTGTCGTGGGTCTATATTAGTATTTTGTGCAGCAGCAGACATAGCACGCAAATCAATATCACCACTTGTCATTGGGTTGAATTCTGGACGTGGTACAGGCATAGGTGGACCATTCAAAGGTTGTTGTTGTTGTTGCTGCTGCTGTTGTTGTTGTTGCTGTTGTTGCGGTGGTGGCGGTTGTATTGGATTACCTATTGGTACATTTTGTTGCGCACTAGACATTACATTCCCACCAAGTACAGGTGGCATTTGGTTAGCTTTAAATAGCATACCCTTTACAAAAAACGAAATATATAATAGTGTTAATATTCATAATATGAAAATTGTACAAACCAATGCAGATTGTGGATCGACTATACGCATAACAACCATAGCTTGTAATAAGGCATAAGCCAATTGTGGATTTATCATTAACATTTGACGCGCCTCTGATGGATTATTTTCTATACAGAGCTTCATTTGTTTCATCAACTCATACATTTGTTCTGGCGGTAAAGATGCAACTGTTTTTGTGATAATTTCGGGTGCTTCATCAGGATTACAATGTTCGCCATACGGATTTTCAACTTGTGGACCTTGCAACAATTGCTGCATCTCCATACGGGACTTTTCTGTACATGCATTATCTACACGCAGTGTACGTCCACCAATTTCGTAACCATTAAGATTACGCATAGCACTCAACGCAGTCTCTTGATCCTTATACTCACAAAATCCAAATCCTTTCGGTTTACCGCTTTCACGATCAAACACAAGCCTAAAGAATATAATAGTTTTACAATAACATTTTGTTTAAAAAACTGCACAAACGTAAAAGTTTCGTTGTTTACTTACTTAAGCGACAAAACAGGACCCACTTCACTAAATATTTCCTTTAGCTTCTCCTCAGTCGCTTCGTATGGTATGTTACCGACTAAAAGGAGTAAAACATTAAAAACGCTCGTACAAGTTTAACAAAATTACCCACCGAAAACTGATCTCATGGATTTATCCATAATACTTTGGTCTGATGCTTTTTCACCCATTTTCACAAATTATTTAAGCAAATTTGAATATAAAACACAAAAATACTTCTTTGCTGATAACTTAATTTGACGTCTGAAAGACAAACAACAAAAATATCCTCTCACACATGCAAACCTCTATATCAATCTATTACAAAAAATTCTGTTGAGCATAGAGTAATAGAGGGAGGAAAACTTGGAAATAATTTTAAATAATGGGAACAATCGCAATTCACTGGTAGATACAGGATGAAGCTTAACTACTATCATGTTCAAATATATATACCATAAATTAAATCCATTGTATAATACTTACTATTATTTATAATGTGAAAATGCAATGCAATTGTTGTTGCACTTAAAACGTTTATTGTTGTATATTAAAAAAATTACATACAAATTGCAGAGTTGTATTTGAAGTATGCATTAAACATATTTATGGAATAGTTAAATTTTCTCATACTACATAGATAAATGCAGATGGAGTAGAAAATGAATAACTTCAGTTATTTTTCATTAAATAGTATTTATTGAAGTTTACCGCAAATTTTATAATTTCAATTCGATTTGACGCTATTTTATTTATACTTTATTATATAATTGTCATATTTGATATAGTGCTTATTTTCAGTGGCTTTGAGTTTTTTTTTTGTTAAAATCCCATTTTATTTTCATAAACGAACTGGTATCAAAATAATAATTTGTAGTTCTCAATTTTTAATTTAATGGTTAATGCTTATTTGTTATATTAAAATTATTCCTATATATCTCTAATGTTTACTAATCGAATACTGGTGTTATTAGCTTGCAAATTAATTCATTTATTTATAAAAACAATATGATATTGCAAATACTGCCAATTTTGCGTATTTTTGTCAATGTTTTTATAAAAAAATCCGAAAATTTCGTAATAGATTTTGGCAGAAACCAGTTATTCGTTTTAATTGTTCTTCTAGGCACTAGATTTAAAAACGAATAATAGTTTAGTACATTGAAGTATGTATAGACCTGAAAACTATTTTTTGCAAATTTTTTTGTTGACATGGGCACTCCAAATGGTTATAGTAAATGGAAAAAATAGCATTAATTGGAATAAATGGTTTAATATTGCCGAGTTATTCCGAAGCCACACTAATTACACTATTTATACGTACAATCAATATTTCAAATAAAGAAATTTCTTCTTTAAATAAATTTACTTTGTGTTATGTCAGTTTAGAAATTTTCCCTTTGGGATATGATCAAATTTATGGCGTCATATATAAAATCGTTCCTTAACTTTTATTAAGTTTATTTTAAAAAGTAGTTATTTTGACATATCACAGAGGATATTTTAAGGATAAAAATTTAGAATGATTTTTGAATAAAAATAATATTCCAAACAGAAAACTGCAAAACTAATATTTAGTTAATATTCAATTGTATAAAAATGCTATATAATCTCTTAAATATACGTATTTTTTTCGAGATTCATATTTAGTAGAAAATGTGTTCGTAATTGTTATTAATATTGTATATGAACTGTTTTCTATAATTAACCTTCATTTTGAATTTTTGATTTATACATTGGTACATTTTAAAATTTCCCTTTTGCAACAAATGGGATTTTATTGGATTTCGTTTCACTTGTTTCTTTCTTTCTACTACTTAAATCAATTAAATTGTCTACTCTACTACTTTATACTAACCAGACGGTGGACGTAATTTTTCACTGCGTCGAGTTATTTTAAAATTATTTTAAATATAGTTATTGCGAAGAAAATAAAATTAAAATAATAACAACGCAATATTTTATATACACAAATAGTTTTTCCGATACACGCAATCGAAAAAGTAAATAACGAAAAATTAAAGTGAAAATTCTTTTGTGTGTAGTGAGAAACAAACGAAAAGAAAGAAAATTTTGTGTCATTGAACGAGTGAATGACTTTTGTGAGACTCCCGTGACGAATGGAGTAGTAAAGAAGGAAGCCCCAATACAGTACATAAAAAAGCAAATAACAATAACTTAAGGAGTAGCACCGCAGCAGCAACACACAACAAATTTGGAGGAAATTTATAGATCGATATAAATGCATATACAAAAGAATTGCCTTGCCTTCCACCACCAAGAAAGAAAATTTCAAAAATTTCAAAAATTTATGATCTATAATTTCATTAATAGACCTAAATATAACAAATACTAATCCATACTAAATGTGTTTGAAAATTTGAATGCGTTCCAATTTAAATAAAAAATTAGGCTAATTTTTTTTCAATGTGCGTTCCATATACATATATAGTGTAACATTTAAATTTTTCTGTACATTTAAATTTATTATGCTTAATTCATATACAAACATATTCATATAAGTACTAAAATTATCGAAGAAAGAAAGAAAAAAAATATATTTTGTAAAACGCGACGATAAAATATAAATTCAATGTTGTGTGGTGCTCTGTGCGTGCTAATTAAAATGAAAAAATATATAATTCCAAATAAGGAATAATCAAAATCAAGTGACCCAAACTAAAAACCATAAGGTCAAAACTCTTAGTGGAAGGCACTGCAACCGATCATCATTACCAACCGAAATATCATCAGCCATTGATTGCTAGTGTAGTGAATAATCCGAAGGTAGACATTGTTTAAGATTATTCAATTTCCATTACTTAAAAATAGTTATCTAAATTAATTAATTTATTTTTTAGTCATTTATTAATAACTTTTTTTTTTTAGAATAATTATATGTGCTGTAAGGTGTACCAATACTCCGCAGTGTGTTGTGTATTTCAGTTTAAAACAATTATTACGTCCTTCTCTGCACAGAAAAATCAATATTGGTAGGAACTCATTCCTTTATTACTAGCACTTATGTATATATATTTTTTTTCAAATGACTTGTTCTTGACGTGATGCTTTTGCTCATTCTAATTTGCATAAAGAAACCTAGAAAAAAACTTTTATTAAAAGTTACATGTTATATCGAGTTTTTAATCATAATTGCTTAATGACACTTTTTTACGTTAATGCAATTTGTGTTACATCTGAATCCTCATGTGATTAAAACATATGTTTATTAAATAATTCAGTGTAATATACATTATATTATTTTTTAAATCGTTAAGATTTGTTACTATTAAATTAATTTTAAACGGAATTGTTGTAAAATCTAGAGATTTTAACCTCTCTTCGCGGATACTTAAGAGTATTTCATAAGCACTTAACGTTAAAACATTTGATATTGATGGAGGATTACTGTCCTTCTAGTTTATATACATATAATCCAGAAGCCCCTTGCCTTACATATAAACTAGAATAAGTTTCATATAACAAGGTATAGGAACCTGTTTAAAATTTTGACAGTATTACAAATAATTTGTAAACAGTTCTTCTAAATCAAATACATAATTTAAAAAAGTCAAGATTATAATCTAGAAGCCCCTTGCCTTACATATAAACTAGAATAAATTTCATATAACAAGGTATAGGAACTGGATTAAAATTTTGACAATATTACAAATAATTTGTAAACAGTTCTTCTAAATTAAATACATAATTTAAAAAAGTCAAAATTATAATCTAGAAGCGCCCTAATTTAAAGAAATCATGATTTTTTAAAAACAAAAAATATTTACCCTAAAATCTAATACAATACAAAAATTGTATGGTCAGCCCAAGAATGTTCCATTATGATATTCCAGTTGAAATGATAAAACTATTAGCAAACTTTTTTCAAATGAAGAGTTTTTGGTTTAAGTCCAAAACCACTTTTTATCTATAAAGAAAATTTAAGCGGGCGTCCTTCAGGGATCCCTACTGTCTTCTTTGGTTTCAAGAACAGTCGGGTCTACGTCCGGAGAAAATCGTCACCAGCGACAACCAAGTGCCGTTCGACACCTCCCACAAAGACTTTACAAGCACTTTTTAGCGGGTTACAACAACAACAACTGATTTCTTTATTGTATAATTTATATACAACAGATTTTCGTTTGGAATCCATGAACTTAACTTTTGTTTTTACTGATGATACCTGTCTTATGTATGGTGACAAAAATGCTAATGGCATTGTAATTGATGAGATAATGAGTTACTTTCGAAGTTGAAGAATTACCGTAAATACTGAAAAAACGAAAGCTATGTTCACTACAAGACTTAAATATCAAAATCCAAAAAAAATAAAAGACAATAGAAAAGGATAGGATAATGTAAAATGCATAAGAGATACACTTTGTTAGAGAATATTAGGGTGAATGAGCTGGTTTGTAATATTACTCTGACTGCTCTAATACGGAAAGTTTTGTATTAAAAATAAAACAAATAGGTAAACGGTTGTGTTACTTTGGGCAATGCTGCTACATCCACCAACTTTAAATTTATTAGAATATTGTATTGACACGTAGGCCCCATTTATCTACATGGCACCTTTATACACAAAAACTTGAGAGTCGAGAGGATGCAAATGACTGCGGTAAAATTTTTCGATCTTGTGGATGTGCACACTAATTCAAAATTGCGCTCTTTTAATCGAATCCAATATATATTCCGTTTAGAAGATATAGTGGGCTTTGAACTATACTCCTGTAAAGTAAATAACTCATTAACAGAGTTCTGCAAAAAACTCTTATTACAGTGGATTATCCAAGTGGTCGCAGACGCTTTTCGCGTTACATTTAGCAAAGATAAAGTATTTGAACATTTCCTCGCTATTACTCTTATTTGTTTGAAATATATTTTTTGTCATAGTATAAAAATAATTTATAATAAGAAATTGGTTTAGTAACTTTAATAATCATGACAACTAGTTATTATATATACGGATTTTAAAGCAATCAGGTTTCAGTCTTATTCAATCATTCATATCCGATTTGTCACAGGGTTTCTCAATGGACATTGCGGAGTCAGAAAACATCTATCGGATCTAGGTATTACAAAGAACAGTCTTTGTTACGAAGAAGAGAAAACAGCAGAACATATTCTGTCACTTTGAGAGCCTTATCAGACTCAGACTTCAGTATTTATCCACTTCTAACGAAATTAGGCAAAATCTCTCCAAAGGACATAATTGCATTTTAAATTGCTACGCGCATGTGGAACTAAGGTGTTTTTGTTACAATAGTCCTCAGAGGATGCAGTGACGTGGTGATACAATTTCCAACCCTTTCAAAGTCTTATCTAATCGAGGGCATAGAAATGTCAAATATGAATTTAAGATTTTAAACTACTCCCATGCAAAGATAAAATTAAATAAACTAATACCTATAATTTCTGTTATCAGATTATGTAGATCTCGTCATGAGTTTGCTAAGAAATGAGTGTAGTAAATCTATCTGGTGATATTTACTTATCGATATGCATTACATTATCAGATTGCAAAGATGATATTAAAGAGTCTGACACCTACAGATTGTGCAGATCTTCTTATCTCCCCTGTTTGTAAAGAAATGAATTCATTATCTCTATTTGCTTTTTATTGAACCAAGTTAGTTATGGATTCTGTCGCAAGCAATATTGTTAGTTTTGTCAGTAGTCTTATATGTCCAGGTTGGCATAGGGCCAACACAATGGATCTTAGCAGTTGCTAGTAACATTGTTTCTTATAATAATAATGATAATAAATAAAAGATGAAAAATATTTCTTTCGAATTAACTTCTCTGTCTATATTAATATATCACTGGGTAAAATTTCGGTTTTCCATTTTATGTGCGCTTTATATCGAAATGGTGCGATAAATTTGATACAAACCCTTTTAGCTTGAGTATTTCTACTATTCGTAAGCGTTTATGTTAATTTGAAGGCTGTTTCCCAATTCTGACCTTGACTTCGCTTAATTTCATGGTTTCGCATTTATTAAAAAATAAAATAAAAATGCCGGAGTGTGAATTTATTTTAAAGTTTAAAATGCCAATAAAATTTTATATCATGAATTTGATGTACAGTTCAGAGAGATGTGAATTTATTTAAACATATTTATGTATGTATATATGCATAAAAAATTGAAAACGATTTAAAAACGTGTGTCCTTAATTTAGAAAAATTAGAAAAACAAATTATGAAAAATTTGGAGAGGTGAAAAATCAATTTTACTTTCCAACAAATACAAATACAATGTAGCTTTTTTTCGTTTTTTTTTTTAATTATTTATAAAATGTATGTAATTATTTTCCTTATTTTTGCTCACAACTCAAAATCAATTACTTTTTCCCTCTTCATATTGATAATTATATACGTACTCATTTCGATAACTGCATTTATCGATACCGCATTTACGCCTAAAACACATTTTTAATAACTTTTTTTTTTTTTAATTTTCAAAAAGTAACGTTTATGTTAATTCGAAAATTGTATACTCTTTTGCATGGATATGACATTTTGGGGATGTTGTGTATTTTTTTTTAAAAAAAATGTAATTTTTATTATGAATAATTGCTATTCATACATACCCTTTTATGCTTGTATACAGAAACGTTTTGCAAAAAAATCCTTCATACACTCGCACATCATTTTTTCTACAGCTCCTCAGCAGCACAAAAAAGCTGTTTTGAAAGTTGTTGTATTTGTTGTTATTTATACTTTGCACCTCTTTTTAAGCTTTGCCGCTTCCTTGCCACATGCCTTCCACACACAACAAATGTTTTTGTGCTATTTGTTTTTGTTGTTATACTTCTTCATTTTATTACTACAAACTACTTCGCAACTCTAACAACAACACCATATGATAATGGTGATAATGATGACAATGACGATAATGATGATGATGATGATGATGATGATGTAGCCACTGTGCTTTACTTCCAACAACATTTTCTCTTTACTTTATTTTGTTTGTTGCTTTTTTTAGCTTTTTGTTGTGTTTGTGATTTTTTAGGTTATGTTATTGTTATTGTTGTTGCTGCTGTTGCTGTGTTGGTTTTGTTTTTGGTATTGTTATTGTATTCTGCGGCAATTTATGCACGCCTTCGTTTGGTATGATGCCAAAGGTCGGTGAGGCGTCGAGCAGGGAACTACTAAATAGTAGTGAGAAGCTTAAATTGCACTTCATAAATGTTGTTGCTATTTTTGTTTGTTGTTTTTTGTGTCTACTTTTTTTAACATCTTCCTCATTTATTCACGTTTATTTTAAATATATAAAATATATATTTTATTACATACTTGGTTTTCTTCTCTGTTCGTAAAATTTTCTGTGTTGTCTTCGTTGAAGAATGTTAAATATATTATCTCATACCTACATATATTTATGTACAATGTATAAGTATGTATGTAAACATATAATTTTGAATATTATATGCATAATTGAATATTTGTTTTTTTTTTTATATATTTTTTTGCTTCCATGTGTTCATATTGAGTTTTTAATGTGCTTTTATTTTCAGTGTCTTTGTCATTGATTTTTTCGTTGTGCTCTTTTAAAAAGTAATCAAGCTAAACCATGTAATAAATGATTTGGTAATATATATATAACATATATCTATATATATATATATCCACAACTGTGCAATAGATAGTAAAATTCATCTATCTACATATATGTACAACATTTCGTATGAACAAGTGGCATAAGATAAGAAATTTCAATATTAAAATGGTTACTTTATCTGCCTTCTATATTCAGTTCTATGTCACCTCAAGCTCTTTTAATTATGACAAAGGAATGTTAATGTCAATTATAAGTACATGTGTATGTATGTTGAATTTGAATTGAGTGCTCAACTTCAATTATATTACCCGAGAATGTAAGTACTGCATCAGCAAAAGAACAAAATTGTTCCATTTTATCTTTTCGTCTTAAGTTTTCATTATTTATTGCTCTTTTGTCCTTATATGGATAGCAATAATTTGTCATCCATACAATTGCGCACATTTCGCAGGGATATAAGAGTGTCACTTTGTCAAATAACCGCAGTTCAGTTTTCATACAATGTAACTACGTAGTTGCAAATAATAAGAGAATGGTTGCAACACAAATTTCCTTGTTGCTAAATTACTTCTATTCATGTTATTAGGAATATATACTACTATCACCTTATCATATTCATGTGTTTGTTTTTGGATTTGATTTTATGTTATCGACTTTATAGATCTCTGTGCACTACAATAATAATAACAACCAAGCGCCGCTTATCACTCCCAACAGGAACCCTATCAATAGCTTTGTTTTTGTTTGTTGCTGTTACTCGTTTTGTTTTATTTTTTTGCTATCCTTTAGTGTGTGAATTGTAAGAGGCACTTGATATCTATAGACAAGTGTTAACTTAAACGCTCCAAAAACTAGAAAAAAACCAAATAACAACATTTTCGATAGGCACAGTAGATCTCCCAAGTATATGAGTTGTCTTGCTGGTGGTGTTAGATTAAATTAAACTAAAAACTTAACTCTCTCTATGTATCTCGTCTCTCTCTCTATTTATCTATCTCCCCCCTCTCTCTATCTATCTATGTTCCCCCTTTCTCTCACCCTATCTATCTTGTTAGATTAAATTAAACTAAAAACTGAACTCTCTCTATGTATCTCCTCTCTCTCTCTATTTATCTATCTCCCCCCACTCTCTATCTATCTATCTTCCCCCTTTCACTCTCTCTATCTATCTTTCTCTCGCTATCTATCTTCCTCTCGCCATCTATCTTCCTCTCTCTATCTATCATTGTATCTGACGAATAAATTTTAGAATGTTTTTTTAAGAAGTTCCTAAATATAAGCAGAATAAAATATTAAACTCTGTCAAATATTTAATCTTAATTCCACTGTGAGAAAATTGAATACTTTCGCAGGAGAAAGGTTTTGAAAATATTGTCTAATAAATGAAAACTGAATTTGACAATTAAGATACAACGTCATTGTAAAAAGCCTATATAAGAAACCGAATACTGTACTACCATAAATATAGAACCATAAATGTATTTCTGAAGAGATACATAGGCTGAAGAGATTGTTCATTTTTAAAACTTCTATAAGAACTTGCTTCTCAGTAAAAGAGTTGGCGGGTTGCAATGGTGGGTGTGGGTTGGTGTGTAAACTGGGGTTGATCTGTAATCTAATTTGTTGCTTCATTTCTACTGAACGAAAGGGTTGTACTGAAATTCGATTTCAGAGTGTTTTTTAATGATAAATATACCATAAACTTTATTTTAATAATTAATGAAACATTTAAGGACTTTCATATATCTCTTTATTTTTTTTTTCAGAAATCGCCAAAAATGGCGCATCACATTTATAGGATGATTTTATGATTTCTATAGAAATTATTCTAATATGAAAAGAAACATTAAAAATTTCTCTTGAAATTATTATCTGAACTAATCAAAAAAATAAAAACCAAAATGGTTGAAAACGTGCAATGTCCTGTTTGCACGTTGTTCCTGCATGCAGGAATGAATCTCTCCGATCACTTGGAAACACATCCAAAAGAACAAGTGATTAAAGCTTTGGTTCAAATGACTATATTGGGAGGCAATGGAGCAGCAAGTGGAGCTTTAGCAGCAGCTTTAGCTAATGAGAATAAAACAAAACCAGAAAAGGACGAACTTGTTGATAATGCCACTGACCTTAATATTGCAAGCAATGCAGATATTATGGCAACAAAACAAGAACCGGCAGTACCTGTACCACTGAGCACGCCCAATGATAGTCTTACTTTTGGTGAAAATTTTTCCATGACTAATCCGTTGCCGCAAAAGAAAGCTGAAGAAATAGATAATAATCAAGTGCCAAAAGCGAATACGGATGCTGAACAAAGTTCCACTGAGAAACTCTTTGTAAACTATAATGACGCTAGTGCGATAGAAGCTTACCAACGCATTAGTAAAAGTACGAATTCAATGAATTCGCATGCACCAACAGATTTCACTAGTTTCAGTAGTAAAAGGCAGCAACAGCAGCAGAAACAGCAGCAGCAACAGCAACAGAATCAGCAGCAGGAGCAATTACAGCATTATCAGCAGCAGCAAAATAGTTCAACAAGTCAATTACTTAAGGACCAACAAATTACCACACAACAGCATGCCAGTGTCTCCTTAACACCAAACTCTCAACAACAACAGCAGCAGCAACGAGCCGCACTTCCCCCACCGCCACCTCCGATGCCAGAACAGCATATGTCAAATTTATCATTAGGTTTTCAAACACTGCAACAAACACAACAGCACGCTTTGCTGACAACAACAACCACAACCCATCGACATCATCAGCATGTAATGCAGCATCAACAGCAACACCAACAAAATCTAAAAATTATTTATTCACCAAATTTACCCCCTCCACCACCATTGCAGGTAAGTTTTCTACATTAATGCTGTTATATATATAACTGTTTAATATACTTCATATATTACAGCTGTTTCCTTATTCATCCACACTGCAACCTCAACACCACAAACCACCGCCTGCATATGGCACAGCAATTAGTCAAATACGATCTCAACATAACCAAAATAAACAAAACATTGCTATGGCCTCTGCAGTAACAGCTTATAATCAAATGCAACAACAGCACCAGCAGCATCAACAACAGCAGCAACAACAACAATATCGTGGTAATGCTGCTCATATGTCTCAAACACCGCAAACAGCAACATCCAATAATAAAACAGCTGAAAAACAGAAACAAGAGCTTAGTAAAAACCCAAAAAACGAAATGCCACCTACACAACCGCCGCCCTTAACTTTTGCAACAGCTGCTATTTCCAATCAACAAAATTTAACTGCAGAAAATTTAACACAACATAGTCAACAGCAACAGCAACCAAGTAGCAATCATCATTCGTCAGCGTTCGAGAAGCATGAATCCACTGCGCTTAGCTTTAAACTTTCTACACCACCTCTATCATCTCAACAAAGCAACACATCTAATACAAATGCATGTACTACAACTTCCACAACTGGAACGACCGCAACTAGGCAGACAAACTCCCCTTTCATATCAATGCTAGGTGCTTCTGTTGCATCGCCTTCAGTACTACGCTATGCGGAGTCACCAGTAGCGCATTATTTGGAACGTGACAATGGAGATTTTATCGTGCAAGAAACACCGAAGCATATTGTAGAGTGCGTTGAAAAAGAAAATGGTGAATTTTCAGTTATAGAACGTATATATCAATCGCCACCAAGCGTTTTACATATACACGATGAAGATGAGGATGAAGATGAAGATGAACACGACAGTAATAATGACAGTAATAAGACACAAAACACGAATAAAGATAAGGTCATTCCTAAAAATATAAGCCATGATGATGATGATGACGAAGAATTTATGAGCATAGCAAGTGAGAGTGAAGTGGAAGAAGACATCGTTACGGTAGAGAAAACAAAAAAACGCAGGTCAGGGAAACAATTATCTAACCAAGCTGGTGAAACTAAGACATTATCGAAAGCGGAGTTGAATTCTGGCTTAAACTCGACTGCTTCTAATTCTAATACCAGTACCAGCACGACATCTTCAACAAATGGAAGACGTAAGAAAAATTCGATAACCGTACTGAGTGATGTGCAATTAAATTTAAATGAATATTTGGATTTAGTTGGAAACATAATAGCTTCTAGTAATAAGAGTTCAAAACGTACATTTGGTGCAACTACACCTATGCCAATTTTAAAAGTTGAGAAAGAGGAACCATTGGACGATGATTACATTAACAACGATTTAAGTTTTCAAAATAATTTTAAAAATAAGATAAATGCTTCAATATCTTTGTCAACATTTAATACAACAACAGTACCAGCAACAACAGCAGTACCAACAACCACAACAACAATAACAACAAAATCAAAACCACCTACAAATGCCGATAAAAATGAGACTGAAAAATTAGTTGAAAATAATAATAAGACTAGCATAATTGAAATCGACGATAATCCCACTAACATAACACAAGCCACAGCAGAAAATTTTTTCACTACAACAAATCAAACGAAAAGCAGAGATCCTATTGCTATATGCTCCAGTCATGCTACAAGTGTCATACGCATGGCAAGCGCCAATCAACCATTGCAATCTTCACAAGAACCCACACAATTACAGCAGAAACAAATGCCAATACCTAAAAAGTCTAAAAAATATGTTGCTGAAATTCTTATTACCAAAGAGAATAATAATATTAAAAATGAGATAGAATCAGTAAATCAAACACCAAGCAAGTCAGTAGATGATTCTAGAGCATTTGCTGCAAAAATTTTAGTACATCCACCACCATTAGCAATACCACCACAAAAGAAGGGTCCAAAGAAGCTTGTAATTAAACCAAAATCTATTAAGACTGAAGTAAATGCCGAAGCCAATCTTAAGTCAAATATCAATATACATACCAGTGCCAGTGATTTAATTGTTAATAATGAAAACACTAAAAAATCACCAACAGCTTCGGATGAACAACCTACCACATCTGCAATGGCTAAACTAATACTGCATGAGCAAAAGCAAGTGCAGCAAGTGCAACAACAGCAACCTAAGCTGTTGGCTATCAGTGATACTTTGATTTCAAAGGAAGCCATCAAAAGTGAACCAACCGGAAATATGTGTGATAGCAACAGTGGTAATATTTTGGAACAACATTTGATATCGGAAACACAGAATTTGGAACTGAAGAAAGAAAAATCATTTTCCACAGATCATATTAGTTTATGCAATCCGCTACCGTTGACACAACAAGAACATATAAACCATCATGAATCGCCACAAAAACCAAAACCAAAAACAAATCGACGTGATGCTGTTCTCTTGGCACAATTTAAAGTTGAAAAAAGTAATCACAGTGATAGTGTTGGATGTATTAATACACTCGATGCAACAAGTGAAAATGTGACCGCTGATGCAAGGGTATTGTTCGAATTTGCGAATTCAAAAAAATTTTCAGGTAAACCCAATATATCAACAAATGCTGTTTCACCTATAGGCACAAATTTTCTATCATCCACTTCAATATTTTCGAATAATGCTACAAATGGAAGTGCAACAGCTACGTCATCAGCTTTATCTAGTGCACCAATAACAATTTCCTCTGCGTCTAGTTTATGTAGCAATAATTCGCTGTCAACGTCATTACGCTGCGAAGACGAATTTATTGACGTTGTACAGGAAATTGTCATATCCTCTTCGTATTCATCACAGTCAGCATCTGATGTTGCATTAAACAATACTGCCAGTGCTGGTGTAGCTTCAAATGCACAACCGAACGAACAATCTCAACAGAATTCTCAACATCAAGCATTTAATGATTATCCCTTTAGTTTTCTCTATGGTAGTGGGAATATTAATCATGACGTCACAACAGCTGCAACTCGTGCTTCAGGTAGTAATTCCAATTTGGTAGATGATACATCATCTGATCATGCGACCAATACACATGACAGCCGTTTTAGTAATCCTCACGGTATGATGTCACAGTGGTACAACCACCACTCGGCATCAGCAGCAAATCATGATTTCGATACAGCTTTAGGTGTGGATTGCAATGTTGCGGTAGATGGTGATGTAGGCAAATATCTTGATTTGGATGCTTGTAAACGTGAGAATTTGGTTAATGTACAAGCTGCGCCCTCCTCAACCTCGTCTTCTTTTACTGCTGTCACTGAGAGCAGTTTGGCAGGCGGTTGCACTACAGATGCTTTAAATATACGCACCGATGAGAGAATGCCTGCAAAAGGTGAAATTTCAGAACAGGAAAGTAATTGCGATATTGAGAACTCATGGAGTCAGCCGGTAAGTTTAAATTATTAATGTTACAAATGAATTATTGTTTCCAATAATATACATATAATCTTTATATTAGTAAAAATAAATAATTTGAATGTATATTTTAAAATGAATCACTCTTTATATTATATTTGTAATATTGTTAACTATATTTTATTTTAATTTTATTAACTTTTAAAGGTTCATATGGATCTTTCATCACGTTGCTTTAAATCGTCGTTTCCTGGACTGTTTCAACAAGAGAATGGTTGGAATCATGAGGAATACTTTACAGTGCAGGACTTAAGTACACCAAATAATAATGCTGCAAATTCAATTAATCGAACAGAAAACAAATGGTAAAAATTTATATATATATACATATATCATAATTAGTAATTAATTAATATAATTATAGTTTTGATTTTCGACTACCACTGGAAGCATCGTCATCTACCACAGGTTTTAGTGGTAATAATGTTGGTAATCACCATCACAATTCGCGACTATTTCCGCAACAAACAGATTTGTTACCTACAACGTCATCAGCAAATAAGAAGAAGCGCAAACGCGATCCAAACGAAACGAAAAAGACAATCAAACGAGTGCAGCCAACAGCGACAATTACTTCACAACAATTGTTCTTACAGCAACAAGGAGAACATCAGCATCAGCATCAACACCAACAACAACAACAACCACACCAACAGCAATCGCAACAACAATTACAATTGTTACAACAGCATACACAACAATTGCAACTTAATGAAACAAATGCATTAGCATTACTGGCTGGTCCATCAACTGCTTCTGCAATATCAATGCCTGTTTCGATAGCTGGCACCACATCAGCTATGCGTCGTAAAAAAGTGTATCAATGTACACATTGTATGGCCGAATTTCCTAAACTCAAAGATCGAAATTCGCACATGATAATCGTGCACAATTATGTACGACAAAATCGTCGTCTGATCAGTACACAAACAAGTACAATTACATCAATCGATTTAGTAGCACCTAGCCAACAAACGAATATCAGTACCAATATGTCGATGACTACACAAAATAGCGAATCCCTTGAAGAATCAAAACATGGTATTGTTAAAATTGAAATGGAACAAGTACAAGAACAGCCACATATATCAATGACAATCAGTGAAAGCATGAATAGCATGAATCCGAAATCGGAAAGTGAATTGATTGATTTCAAAGAAAATTTGTCAATAATACAACCAGCTAATGGTAATCCAAGTACAAACGATCGTAATGCACGTGATTTAATCGACAAAAAGCCAGTATTGCAGCCATTAAGCATGAATACAACATCTACTAAATTGGCGGCACTATATCGTATGTTAGTCTCTTTTAATATGTCCACGCTTAAGCAAAATACAAATTTAAGCGAATTCGAGGAGAAACTAATATCATCATCGATATTCTTTTGTTATGTTTGTCGTTCTAACTTTACTTCTGTCAAACAATACGATGCACATCTCACTGAACATCCAGCCGAGTGCTTTACGTGCGGTAAGAAATTTCAACGTTGGAAAAATTTCTCATTGCATCTCAAACGTCATTTGGGTTGGAAGGAATTCGGTTGTAATATTTGCGATAAGAAATTTGTTGTTCGTAGTGCTTTGGTTGAACATATGCGAATGCATACCGGGCACACACCCCTCAAATGTAAAATTTGTGGTAAGTATGAGATTAAAGAAATTAATATATTTTACGCCACAATAATAGTTGTGTTAATATATGTTATATCTAGTATCAGTTTATATAAGGGAAAGAGAATATATATATAGCTAAAACAAGTGGAAACTATTTAAAACTCTAAACAAAATTATAACAAAATACATAAACAGATTTTATACTCTGCACTATATCCGCAAGTTTTTAATGCTTCTATTAATATATTCTTTTATAAAAATATAATTATCTATTGTTACATTTTTGTGTAGATAATTAGTGGCGCAAGTACTATCAAAAGAGTCGAAAGCCGAAAGTCGAATCAAAAGCAAGAAAAGTAGAATCAAGAGCAAGAATTGGAAATATTTCTCTAAGTATAAAAATACTTTGAAAACTGTATGCATTATGAGAAAATAGTAGTGTTTATATCCTATATTAATATGTAATCTATATATTTTTATAATTATATTTTTATAAGTAAACAATTGTATTTGTCTTGCTATTTAAACTGAAACTGATGAATGATGATGATGACCTGGTACTATATTGCAAAAACAAACGGATTATATTTTTTTGTCTGGACAAGTCAACCCATAAATCACTTACCATTATCGTCTATTAAATTAGGTTTGGATTTCCTAAGTGTACACAGACAACATGACACCTAAATATTTGACTAGAACTAGAATAATTGACCAACAACAACTCTGTTGGTTCTAGGACTGACCAGTTTGCTATTCAGATCGTCTTTTTAGACAACCAAATGCTGCTCAAGTAAAAAGATCCGTCTCTATATTTTGAAGAATAACGTTATTATATATTTTGTTTCTGTTCAACTTAATTTGATGTAAAATAAATTCCCTGACGAGAATCCTGAATCTAATGATTTAGACTTAAACAACATTCTAGGCGTATATTGGAAATATTACACCTAAATATTTAATTAAAAATAGTAATGCTTAAAAACCTGTTTCTATATTTTGAAGCTATACGTTATTATATTGGTGGGTAAGATCTATTCAACTTACATGAAAACTTTTTGGCCACCTCCAAGACTTTAGTCTAAAGAGTATGTAGGCTTTGCTAAAAGTTAAAGTTAAAGGAGGTTTTTAAATTTTTGAGTACTTATATGGAGTACTTATATACCGGATTGCTTGTATAACCTAACTTAACCTACCAAGACAGAGGTGGAAAAAATGTATATGGATATTTTTTCTGGGTTTGGTTCAATAATTTAAAACTAATCGTTATTATATTGAAAATATCTATTCAACCCATCTAGATGATAAAATAATTGATTTATTATCCCAGAGGTGGAAAAAATATACACGGATATTTTTTGGTTCTTTAATTCTGATCCTAGTTTTATAATCGTTTATATTGATGGGGAATAATATTCTACCTAACTAGAGGGTAAAGTAATACACCTACTATAACAGCGGTCGAAATAATCTATATGAACTTTTTTAGGTGTGCATGTATTAGTGTGTTGTGTGTGGTATATACACCGACATATAAGTGAATAGTTGGTAAATGATATAATATCAACAATATTTTTATACAAAAGCAACTAATTATCTTGATTAACTGTCCACATAAATCCAAATTAGTTTTCTTCAAATGTTCTAATTATAACAACAATTATAACAATTATTCTTATTAAAGTATAAAGATTTTTGAAGAAACTTCACTGTAACAACTAAAACATTGGTTTATCCAATGTATTTACTAAATATTATAAATATTTTAATTTTAAAATGAATACTAAATGATATGAAACTAATTAATTAAGAGCAAAATTATTTCTGTACTATGGTAATTCGTGAAATTAAGCTTATATACGCATTAAGCATAGATTCATATTTAGAATGCAAGCAATCGAATCATATTGCTATTTATAATACTTTAATACTAATAATAATACTTAATACTATTACTATAACAATAATAATAATAATATAATTTTTGTTTTGTTAGGTAAAAATTTCAAACGCTATTCCAATCTGACGCAGCATCGTAAACGTCATGGCAGAATGACAATGAGGAAAAAAGAATATGTGTGCCATTGCGGTGAAGTGTTAGCATCGAAAGCACGCTTCCTGTGGCACAAGGAAACACATGATGCCAAACCAAAATGTTGTCCTTATTGTTGTGATCGCTTTGTGCATGCAAACTCACTACGCAGGCATATACGTTTAGCGCATTCCGATAAATTTGATTATGCCGAGCCAATGGAGTGTCCCATGTGCAAACAAATTTTCGCTAAATCATCAATTAAAGCACATATGGCATCGCATACCATGGATGTGCAACACAGTTGCCCAATCTGTAATAAATCATTCTCAACGAAATGGAATCTGAAGATACATTCATGGGTGCATGCAAATCGTACCGCAAAGCCATTCAAATGCGAACACTGTCCTAAAGCATTCGTACGGGAAGTTGATTTTAAAAACCATATGAACGCACATAAACAGATCAAGCCATACACTTGCGAATACTGTGGCTGCAAATTTATTAGAAAGTACAATTATATGCGACATAGGCGTGAACATCATGGTAATAAAAAATTCACCTGTGATCTTTGCAAAAAATCTTTCCACCGGCACTATTACCTAATTGAGCATCGACGTATACACACTGGCGAACGGCCATTTCAATGCACGATCTGTGGCAAATGCTCCACAACAAAAACGAATCATAATAAACACTTGAAGATACATCATTCACGCGATCCGTTCACGGTGGAAGTATAAATTGTCAACCATTCTAGTGAACATTAAAACAAATGTTTAATTTAATTTAATTTTTTTTTTCTTATGACGTCGAAACTAACATTTTTATTAAACTATTTGTAAGTTGTTGATACAAAACAAACAAAAACAAAAAAAAAAACAAAAAAATTAATTAAAAACAGTTTAAGCTCATTACATAAAGTATTTGCTAAACTAATTGTAAGCAAATTAACTTAATTTAATTGAATGTATATTTGTGTGTGTGTAAAATTGAGATTTTACAAAAGTATTAATGTATTTAATGAATATTATGAATATTGTAATTTTATAATTAATATGAAATGATATAAAATTAATTAATTAAGGCAAGAATTATTTTAATAAATTGTTTTATGGATTTATATGTAAATTTACTTTGCAAATATTTTGTATTTTTATAAAAAGTAAATAATGCATAAATCTTGTTATGATTTAAATTCTAAAATGTCTTATTAATATCTTATAGTGAATGAAGCTTGAGATGTTACTTTTGCACTATACCGTATATTCCTATAACAATATTTTCGCTTCAAACTTTTATATCTGTATAAAATTCAGTTTTATTAAATGGTTCTTACAAGCTTAAACTATCTGGAACTGAAGGTGAAAACAAGATATCGCAGATTAGCAAGTTTACAAAAATGTGAGAATGAGACTGTTTTTGGAGCCCACTTTTGGAGTCGCAAACATTTTTCGAATAAGTTTATGAGAGCGTTCCTGAATTCCTAAATCGCAAGAATTTTGTGGGTTAAATTCATAAGTAAAACAATTTTATGCTATTTATCGTTGGAAAATATTTATATTTTATAATAATTCTTTAATGTTTGCAAAACTTAATTATAAATTTAAATATTTTTTTAACATTATTTTTTAGAAAGTAATTTGCTTGTAATAAGAAATTTTATTTTATGCAAAATTTTGTATTTAGTTAAAGTTACGTTGATTTTCGCTAAAAGCAATGGAATGGTCTCAAACATTTCTTATGGCATTCAATTGAAATAAAGTATACCTTGAATATGTCAGCAATTCGTATAATTATTAGAATACAAAATAAATTCATACCAAATTCTTGTGTTCACAGTTTGATAAATTAAGTAAATTTAAAGCCTGTTTTTAATATTTTCTTGTATCAATTTAAATTATATTATTAAGTTTAAACAAATTAGATTATTTTATTTAATAATTTCTGAAGTTTCACTTTAATTTCTTACTTATAATATATTTCTGTCAAACTACTTATATCAAAATATTTGATCAAGCATAAAATAAATTCATAGCAGTTAATGTGTTGCATAATGTTATTTAGTTTTTTTAATTTATAATATACATTTCCATTTTACATTTCATATAATTCTTGCAAATAATATAAAAGGCATATAAGCCCGAATAATAGGCGTAAATATACTAAGGAGTACATTTTTAATGTTGTGAAATTTGAATTCATTTCTGAAAAGTATTCATTCATATCAATCATCTTTATATATATAATTCTATAGTTTTTAAATTGCTCTTTATTTTTTAAAATAAGTATTAAATATTATTTTTGATGTTATGAATATATTTTTAAATTGTAGATTTTATTGTAAAATTATTAATTATAAATAAGAATATGTTTTAATTTGAAAACAAACAAATTATGTATAATATTATATTTTTTTTATTATTGAACTAAGGCGTACCAATTTTATGAACTAGTGAATTGAATTGTTTATTCTAAGCTATATAACAAAACAAAAAACATATTAAGTGTAACAAATTTTGAAAGTATGAACATGCATATAAAAAAGTAGATTTCTTTTTTTGTGTATAATTAATTTCAGGTTTAATGTCCTTTTACGTTTACTTACTCAATTTACAATATGCTTCCTCCCACTTATTTTTACATAAATTTTAAAATTGTTTTATAATTGCTTAAGCTTTAAAATAAAAATATCTTACTATTTACAATAAAAATATATTGGTTTTAAATGTAAAAAAAAAATTAAAAAAATTAAAAACACTACATATTAATTAAAGTGCAATAATTTATATTTTAAGTTTTGAATAAGTTTTTTTGTATGTCATGTAATAAATTGTTAAAAATTTGTTTTACATAGTAAATTTAAGTTAGTTAAATTTATTTTAAACACATTTCTTTTGTTTGTTTACAAATTAAGTTAAATTTGCATTGATTGCAAAATTATATATTAATTATATGTATTAAAATAAACAAAAAATGTATTGATATAAAAATATATATTAAAAAAAAATTATTTGCATTTTGCAAAGAACAACTATTAAATCTATAAATAAAATTTTATTTTCAATATAACATACATTTTTAAAACAAACAAACAAAAATAAAAAAACTAATAATATTAATTGTTTAAAAAATCGATTAGTTTAATTTTAAAATATTTCTTAAGTAATCTAAACAAAAATAAATAAATACAATTAATAATAAATATTAAAATATAGAAAAAAGAAATTGAATAAAAAAACTTATATAATTTACAAATATAAATACGATGTTTAATGAAATATTACAAATAAATTAAATTGGTCAAAAATTAAATATAAAAATATTAATTATATTTTAAAGATTGTTTTTTTTTGTGCATTTATCGTATTGATAGCGTTATTGTTTATGTTGTGTATCTTTTAGAAATCCTGAATGTAGAATTGCTTTTTAAGGTTCATTTGGGTGGGGTGAGCAACACAGGGGTAGTCTTAAAGTTGAGCTCCGTGACATACATTCGACCGATTGTGCTATTTTTGTTGCTGTAACCCGGTCCGTTCTATTGTCCTTGGTGAAATCAGCTTGAATTTCTTTACTTGAGAATGTCGAAATTTGAATAGTGCTGAGATAGTTAAGAAAATGTATGACTTTAGCAAATTCAAGCAGTAGCGCCAGCTGTTATTGGGATATGCACTGTTATTTATTATTGTGGTGCCACGATGATTGCTGGGCGAATCACTTAGAAGTAGTCTAAACTGCTCACTTTCATTATCTCCGAAATCTTAAAATTAAATAGTTGATACATGGTATGCATTTCGTATATTTAGCACGTAGTAGATTGTAATTCTTAAATTAGTGTTACTCAACACTTCAAAAGATTAACATATAAGCTAAACTTCAATTTTGTAATGTAATATAAAAGTGTGTGGTATATTAAGTGCTGCGATCAGATATTGCTTGTATTGACGTCTTCTACTACAGGTTAATTCTTGATTTAACATGTACTTTTGGGTTGTATGTTTTTCTACATTGTAGTATATGCAAATAATATTTGATGCGAACTTATAACGCTCAGGCGTTTGAGTCCACAGAAAATAATATAATTTAAGCTAAATATAGTTTATACTTATTAGACTATACGACTTTCAATGCAACAATGTCATCTGTCGGTTGTGGGATAAGATCGTTTATTATTGATAAGACTTGTTGCTTTATGTTTTGTTTATGTTTTGCAACACTGTTAATGATGCTTTGAGAAAATTGGTGTTCAATATAATAAACTAGGTTTTTTTAAAAGAAAGGTATTAAGGATTATCATTAACAGCTTAGATAGATCAAGAGACCTTTAAAGTCTTCGTAGAATTAATAGTACTAAGTGCTGCATTCATAGTAAGAGTGCAGCTTTGTCTATAACAAAGATGATTATGATTATGATGAATTCATATGATAAAAAGAGTATCAAAAAAACAAACTCTTCTGTAACATTTGCATCAATATCGCTTGTGTTGTTCAAGTACTCAAGAACTACAGTGGCTCACAGCTTATTTGATGCAAGCAAAAATTTTTTGAAAAATGTTGTTTATTTCAAAATATTTTGCAAAATTAAAAAAACAAAGTATGCAGAGTTATTGTTTATAGTGTGTTTATTCATTTAAAAAAAAAAACCCCCAAAAATCTTCTTCCATTCCTTAGTAATGCATCAAAAACCAAAACCAAATGAAAAATTCATGTCACAGCTTAAATGATGCAGTTAAGAATACCGTTATTTTTGTCGCCAGATTACACAGAAATTAAAATATTTTTATTCTGCGATCATTTGTAATCTAGTTTTTGAGCAAAAATAATATAAAAATTAAAGTGAGTGCATTTTGTTAACCATGGGACGGCGCACATCAATTGAAAAGCGTGAGTTAGTGTTGGAGTACTTTAAAAAGGGAATTCCCCAGCGTAAAATTGGTGAAATGGTAAATATAAGCTCTTCAACAGTTTAACACATAATTGAACGCTTCGTACATGAAAATCGCATAGAAAATATGGGACGAAAGGCTCCCAATAAAATTTTTACAGAAAAAGAATCGAGGTATTTGGTAAACCAAATTCGAAAAAATCCAACAATTAGCGCTCCAAAGTTGACAGACATGGCCAAAATAGATTTTGGAAAAATTTATCATCCTGAAACCGTCCGCAGAATATTGTGAGAATCAAATTTCAATGGAAGAATAGCTGTAAACAAACCTTTCGTAAGTGCAAAAAATAGAATTAAAAGATTGCAGTTTGCACGAGAGCATTTAAATAAGAGTCCAGCATTTTGGCGAAATGTACTTTTTGCAGACGAAGTCAAAATAAACTTATTTGGATCAGATGGAATGTCTTATGTATGGCGCGAAGTCAATTCTGAG